ATCCATCCTTCTAATTATCCACCTATTCATCCATCCATCATTCTAATTACCCACTATATTCATCCATCCATCATTGTAATTATCCACCTTTTCATCCATCCATCCTTCTAATTACCCACCTATTCATCCATCCTTCTAATTACCCACCTATTCATCCATCCATCATTCTAATTACCCACCTATTCATCCATCCATCCTTCTAATTACCCGCCTATTCATCCATCCATCCTTCTAATTACCCGCCTATTCATCATCCATCCTTCTAATTATCCACCTATTCATCATCCATCCTTCTAATTACCCACCTATTCATCCATCCATCCTTTGTAATTATTCACCTACATTAGATGTAAGAACTGCAACTAACTTACTATAAATAATTAAAACAGCATTTCCAGCCCTTTATTCTAAAACTGCAAATTCACAGGGAAGGTGCACAGTTCGCTCCTTTAACATAATAATTTATAAAACAACATTAGTTTGAACGTTGGGACTTGTTTTTTATACGCCACTCAAGACGCACACTCAAACTCTCACACACAGACACACACCCATGTTCACTTTAACCGTATTCATTAAATTATTACCATCATTATAGTGCAAGTTCAGTGAATTTATACACCGCATTTAAACACAGCTTAAGCTTAAGTGCTATGAAATAACTTTAAAATGACATTACCGGTAAGTACACACAGATCTATTTGTCAACACTAACAGATATGGGACAAAAATATATACATGACAACAGATTAATGGTCCATCTCCATGTCTCATTGAGTGCTGTAATAATCGCGCAACACAACGAATCGATAATGAAATTCGTTGCCAAAACTTTTAAAAATCCATTTTCATGAATTTGTTGTTGGAGCCCCAGATGATGTACAGCTCTCTATCTCTGCTTCCCCGCCTGATCGCATCCATCTTGACGGCCTTTGCTCCATTTCAGATAGTAGTGAAAGCTGGGCTCATAAACTCCCAATATTCTCAGGTAACTCAGTTCTCAGTACAAAGCAGGTTCCTCATCGTTGAGGACAGAACTTCTTGTGATGTTTGCATGATGCACATTAGTCCAACTCAGGAACACCATTTACTTCAATTCACAAGCTGTCGTCGGCACGCCGGGGGGGGGGGGTTCCTAAGGCAACCGCCGTTGGCGAGGCCGGCTAGCCCCTTCTGCACGGTTCAGAGCGCACATTCCGGCATTGATAATGACAGACGGTCGAAGGACCACGGGTTTGTTTTGGAGCAGATGAAACATCTGGGGGGGTCAACTCAAGAGGTGACCCCAGCGCACGAGTTTCTGAGACCATGTGTCAATCCGGCTCGAAATCCTCCACCGAGGTAATTGGCTCATCAAATTATAATCAAAGTCAGTCTCATCCCCTCGTGTTTGTAGCGCATATGGTTCCTTCATTTATCTTTTTACCAGCTGTGCAATGCCACGTTGTCACTGTTTCTACTAATATTTTGGCATCCCCAACTATGACTACCGACACCGCTACAACTTTCATTTCATCTGCTGCAGGATTAGGAGCTCCGTGGTGCCAAATTACTCTGGTAACCTTTTAGTGAACAAAACCCTCATTATTCAGGGGGTGTTTTTCTTTTCTTTTCCCTTGAAGCGTAGAAGATGAAGATTCACCACAAACCTCTGCTTCATATTCTGCTGTGTGTGCATGTTCTGCCTCTCACTCCCTTTTCCAAACTGTTACTGTTGTTTACTGTTGTTTCTCTGACAGCATCACCTCCTCATGTGTGCCTTCTGTGACCCGTGCCAGCAATGCATATCACAGCAAGGACCCCCCCCCCCCCCCCCCTCTCCGACATCCCCTTGTAAGACCGCGACACAAAAGAAATGAACAAACCCTGCGCATTCATCACCATTACCAGCGAGCGGACAAGGGATTTAATTGAATATGTATTAGCACGGGGGACTGGAGCGGCGCTCGGCCCGCTGCGTTGTTGAAGCGCACCCCGGAGAGCCGGCGCACGCCAGCCCCGCGGCGGGGGGGGGGCTCATGGCCCGACTGTTTCTTTCTCTGGAGTGCAGATATTGTTTTGAGGTTCTGTGAGGTGGGAACAAACGAGAGGGCCCCTACGTAGGGTAAATAACAATATAACCCCCCTTCTCCCCCCCCAAAAAAACATGGCCATAGCTGTGATTGAAACCTCTCCCTCCAGGCGCCAAGTGATTAGATGTTTCAGAGCCGACAGTCTGGTAACAACTGTGGAAGAAAAGCAAAGGAAAAGTGACGCGTTGACCTTTTCCTTATGCACATGTAGCGTAGCATCAAGCTAGCCCCACTGATGGGAAAGACACTACCCCCATTGGCTGGAGTGCAAAGGGGAGGAGGGGGGGGGGGGGGGAGCTCTTAGACGTGGTCATGTGGACCAGACAGAGAGGACAGGGAGGATGATGGGAGAATTTGAGGAAGAGGAGACCAGGCTCCTCGGCGAGATCAAAGGTGCACTCGTCTGTCCTTTGCTCTGACGGGGGGGAGTTGTTTGTTTTGGAGGGGGGGGGTGAATAGGTATTGTAACATGTAACACGATTCCATCGTATGTGTTAAGCCACTATAGGGCGAACGGGGGGGACATGTTGAAATAAATTCACCGTCCAGTCCGCCGAGTGTCTTTTAAGACACGTTTAATCCGTGCTGCGCACGCAATCACCAACGTCCATTTCATTACATCACATGTTTTTGATCACAGGCGCCACGCAGCATAAGACGCCACCTCGTTGCAACGTGGTCAAAAACGACGTTTCCCTCAAGATGACAAAAACACCAAAACCCGCATTATGGCTCCAACAGCTAGAATAAAAGCATCTTTACTTGTGGCTTTACTGCTGTATATTCCTCAAGTAATTGATTTACTTTGTCCTCTCCCTGAGAGCTTTCTTTATTTATTGTGCACAAGTACACTCAGACACTCTTACAAATGTCCCATACGGGGACAAGAAACATTCAGCAGTCACTTTGTAAACCGCAGAGAAAATGGAACTTAGAACGTAGGAGCTGCATCTGTTCGGGCGGAGCAATATGTCCGACTCCATCACGCCGATGCGTCTCAGTGAAGACCCTGTCGAGTTGAGATTCCTCAGTCCGTCATGAGGGGACGAGGAAGCAGAGCTTTCACGTCGTCAGAACCTTTTGGACAAAATCCCAAAGGGCGGAAACGATCATAAACGTGGCTTTTTACCATTAATAACTCATTTGTTAAACCGCTAATTATTCATAACCATTCACATTGTTTATTCACGCCGGCTCTTTACATTCACGTACGCCGCACAGAACCGTCAATGTCCCGTCCAACTTCCCTTCTGTAACTTGGAGAAGCGTCTTGGCTGCCATGCAGTACGTTTAATAATTCATTCTGATCAGTCCAGGCGTGCAATCCGTCAGCTGTCCAGGTTTGAACTCTGCGTGTGTGTGTTAAATCATTTGTTGTGGCGTGCAATCCGTCAGCCTCCGTCAGATCTCGTTTCCATTGAAACCCGAGGTAAAGACGTGGAACAGCAGTAAAACGGCAGCTGATTGGACGCGGCACAAGCCTGAAACGAAGGAGTCGGTCTGGACTCATTTACAGACAGGAAACGGACGCACAGCGCAGGTGGCGAGGGGACGCCCGCAGAGCGCCTCTCCCGTGACCTATTCCCCCCCCCCCCCCCCCCCCCCCATCCTCGACTACAGCTGCTCTCCATCCAGGAGGGAAACAGGAAGAGGACTTTAAGGAGGAGCGCACGCGCTCAGTCAGGTTCTAGAGCCCTTCTCTCGCCCTTTAAGCTGATTTAAGTGTAGTAATTCCTTAGAGATTCTTTCTCATTCCTCAGAACAATAACTGCTGGGCTCGCCGGGGTCCGATGACGCAGAGGCCTCAGACGTTTAAGCAGATAATTGACAGGATCTCACACCCTGGTGGGACTTAATTAGGGCTTTAATAACGGCGCCAGCGCTGAAAAGGTCAACCACTTGAGCGCTTGGTGCCGCGCGCCTGCTGCTCCAGGTGCATCGCCGAGTAATCAGGCCGCTTCCAATTAGATCTGGGTCATTTCCACTCGGATGAAGAGAAGTGTCCCGTTTCGTTGTTCGCCGTCCGTAATGCCGCCGCTCTCCACGCAGCAGACTGGGTCTCTCGGCGCGACGAGGGCTTTTTTTTTTGCTTTGGTTGCCTGTTGATTGTCAGGTCGACTCAAAATATGATTAACACATGAATTGATTCAAACGAGTGACCGGTTCCACCTGGTACACAAGGGGCGACTTTATTACACTTTATAGCAACGGACGTTTCTGTCAATCCAGAAAACGGTCCCCAACCATTTTCATGTGAGACAATATTTTGCGGTATTCACCGGTCTAACCACAACAGGAATTACCTAACGTGATTAACCGATATCTGACTAACTGGACTGATGAGGCACTTTTTTCGTCTCTCCACAGGGGGTCTTTCGCCTCTCACCTTTGCTGTAGTCATCACGTGAGCGATACGGTCTTCTTGAAATCTGTCCAGAGGGACATTCAGAGGGAGGGAGACATTTGGTTATTTTTCAAATTAAAACATTGTTCAGAACGAAAACAAAAGTTCTTTATTCTTCCTGTGCGCTGCAGTACTAAATGGCCTCACGGACCGGTACCAGTGGTGGTTGGAGACCACAGTTTAGACCCCTTTGCTCAAAAAATCACACAGAGATGGCAATTGTTTTCATGTTTAACTGGTTCTTATTCAATTGTGCGCCATTGACCGGCTTCAAATTCGATAGTAACATCAATATTTTTTTGTCGGCATTCCCTCATTTCTTTTAAAATGTTAAATTGTTGCCACCAAAAAATAAAGAAAAGTGGCCAGTTGCCATTGGCAACCATATTGGAAAATCTGGCAAATTTGAAGGTGTTTTTGTGTTTGCTGTCGAGTCCTCTGCTACTTCGAAGTTATTAGCCTTGATCATTTGTTGGCGTTGTGTTATTCTCGCTCGATAAGTCTAAAAGCTTTCTCGTCCTCAGAGTGTTCTGTGCGGCGTTTCTATGAGGCGCCGTAGCGGCACCAACGTGCTCTGGCTTTGTCGAAGCCCCACGTGACCTGGTTTGTCTGGCGGAGATTCAATCGGAGGAGACACACCGGGGAGCAGCGGAGTGACGGGCGACCTTGGATTCCACACGCCGCCGCCCCGGTAAACACACCTCGCCCGTCCTCCGGCTCGGAGGCGTCTGTCGAGTCGTTGCGATTGAAACACCTAAATCTCTACGTCTGCCGTCCGCCACCGTGGACTTTGTCTGCAACGTCGAGAGCCACTGACGCGGAGTCTTAAGGACGCCTGCCAGCTGGAAAGTTAATTATCTCGTTCTTCCCTGCGGGCATCTGGAGATCTGACGCAATGTGTGTAAAGCTTTCAGACCACACAAAGAACAACCCCCCCGGTTAGCCGCACTGATCATCAATCAGGGTTGTCGGTGTCAATAGGACTTCATAGACGAATGCGTGCGCGAGTGGATCCTCGAGCAGAGAACAGTAATCCTGTGTTTCCTGCCACGTCTCCAGAGCCATAATTACAGATTTCGCTGCTTTGTTTTTTTCTCTGGGATGGTTCACAGCCCTGAACCACGTCAGCGTGAGCACAGACGGGCAGCTCGCTGGGAAAGGTCACAGGGTCCCTGCGGTACCGTCGGATTTGTAGATTCAGCTCAAGCTTTTATCTTTCAAGGAATGGTTTGACCTCGACAACTGTGAATTATGACATTTAAAACTCTGTGCTGTTTGAGTCGGCTTCGTGGTGCTGGTGACATTCGATCCAATCTCATCCTGTACAATTATTATAATAAATAACAATTTGCCATTTATGAATATATTTGTGTAAGTTAATTGTTAAATTCCGTTTTATCCCCTCCTATTTGTAGTCCCTACCATTGTAAAGGCTTTCCAGGTAAGCTTCCTTTAACATTAAGGTTCATAAACAAACATAATAACATAAACCCGGCTACGTTGTTGTCATTCAGCAGCGTGCGGCACAAAAGCACCAATAGAAAGCCAAATGTGCGCTGAAATGAAACGCTGAAATTCAATCCATTAAAATATATGAAACACCAGCTATAAGAAATGAAAGCGACGATTAAAGCTGAGAAACGAAGGCTGTAACATATTTAGCTCCCTAACTCGCTTTTAGAAGAGCAGAGGGAGCCGTTCCCTCCACCCAAGGTGATCACGTCAAATGAAACGGGGGGAAGCGGCTTTGGCGACCTGCCTGGAAGCGGAAATAAGAGAACATCAAGGTGGTTTTAGGCGTCACAATAAGGCTCCCATCATCTGTGGACATCGATACCCGATGAGACGCTTCCAAATCTGCAACCGAGCCACAACTTGATGGTCATCACTTTCCGGAGCGCCAAAACAATAACGATCACACGCTGGAAACGATGACGCGGGGGGAAGAAAGAAATCTTTACTCCGACGGTGATTTCCACCGCAGACAAACAGACATATTCAGGGAGCGACAGATAAGCTCATTGCTGTTAGAAAATTATTTCCTCCAGCAGAGAAACGCTGCTGCCAAAAGGGGGGGTGGTGGTGGGGGGGGGGGAGAGAGAGATAAAGTGTAACGGCTATTGGCAGCAGAAACAAAAGGTGCATTTGCGCTCTCCTTCATTATTCCCTGTCGTTGAATAATTAACAGCTTTTGTTATTTCTCGGCCTCTGACTGTAATGATGGCAATAACTCAAATTATGCTGATTAGTGCGTTGGGGGGGCGGGTGGAGGGTTGGGGGGGGGGATGCATTCCACAGGCCACCATTTTTTTCCTTCCTAGCATCAGAATAAAACTTTATTACAGTTCCAGCGGTGATGTGAGACGCACGAGTGGGCGGGGGGGTAAAAGTGTGAATTAGCTTTATTAATCATTTTTCCAGAGGCTGCCGCGGCTCTGTCGCCCTGTCGAGTATTTCTCTTTAGGTTTTGCCAATTTGCGAAGTGATTGCACATCAGCCGGCTCCCCCGAGTGTCTGCTCGCTCACCGTGAACCCTTATTCTGTGAGGCTGTGTGTTGGATCGTGAGTGGCTTGTCAATGGGGGAGGGGGGGAGGGGGGGGTTAGACAGCCTGATGCGCCTAAACTCAGATTGCGCGTAAACTGACTCCACGGCCCCGAGACCTGCCACTCACCTCCGAAGGGGGCAGGAAGTTCTTCCCAATTACCCAGCGCGCGCACTGCTGCCCCCCACACCTCCCCCCCTTCCGGCCTGTTAGCCGGAGCGGTGACGGGTCTCAATCCTGACCTTGACGTGGTGCCCCTCCCCCCCCCCCCTCTCAAGCTTGATAGCAGCGATATATTCACACCTCTACGCTTCGCCTTTCTCCGTCTGTGGCTTCAGGCTCGGCCAGAAGGGGGGAAATAACATTTTGAAAATGTTAATAAATCAGCAATCAGTTGTAGCCTTCAAACACAATGAAGGACAAGGAATGTCAGTCAGCCTCTCTCCGTGTGTTACTTACTGTGTTACTGTAGTAACGGTGTCACTCCGACGTCCTGCAGCACTCTGCTAGCACGACTACCAAAGCTGTCAGCGTGTGGACATTAAACACAAATGGCTTCTTTTCTTTTGGGACGCATTAATTGGACTTGTGTTATCCAAGTTTGGCGCAGGCCTGAAGGGAAAAAGAGAGAACGCTGCGTGTGTGCGCGTGTGCATCATCTGCCTCCGAGGCTTATTAATCAAGTGAAAAACTCAATTCAATATGAGAGAATTTTCATTTGACCTTTTCGATGCGATGTGAGCCTCCGATGATAAGTCCTCATAAAGGAGCACGCTCTCCCTCCGCCCTCCTCCGCCCGTTTTGTTGCCGTAGTTAAGACGGAGCGGCCTCGCAGGCATACTGATGAGCCCCTTTGGCACTTAAAACCTCGCTCACTGCTCTTCTTTGAGATGAGATGAGTGCCGAGTCATTGTTCCATTTGAATGCTTTTTCTTGGGGGGCCTCGGGAAAAAAATATTGTGCTCTTTGTGGTTGACGGTTATCATCGTTTATCATCTAATCAGTTTCTGATGTCCAGACGCCTCATATGAGTTGCTCTGACCCGCCTCTGCGTTGCTATTTTTGTCTCACAGACGCGGTATGAAGACACGGCGGCCATATTGCCTGGGACGAGAGCCAGCTGTCTCAGGTACGCTACGCTGACCTCAGCAGTCCGTCCGCTAGTCAAATCGCTGCTCAGTCAGGGATGTAAGCCCATTTTCTGGGGGGGGGGTTTAAATAGAGACACGGAGGAGACCGGGAGCCGAAAACGCGTCTTTGAGGTCGGCAGCTTTAATCTCCGCGGCTTAATGAAGCCGAGGCTTTGTCACCCTCGCGCGGCTTCGGGTCTCCAGGGTTCCTTTAGTCGTCACAAGGGAATTACGCAGTGGGAGACGCCGGGGACACAGTCTGGTCCACGCCATGTGATATCGCAGCCCATTAAGAAACAAGAGGAGATTTACGGCGACGCCTTTTGTGTAATCCGACAGATGTCTAACAGAGGATTTGATCCGGTATTGGATTTGGTATTTAAATCCAACCCGTTTTCTTCAATATTAATGCGATATTGTGTTGGGGTGAAAAGAACGTTTTCGGTACAGCAGCGGACACCAATAATTTAAAATAAATATTTCTATATATGTAGAATGACTTTTATATATTCTTCATATGCTCAGAGATTTAGACCCATTTGGTTGATGGTTGTTGGGGATAAATTGTTGTGTGGCAAACTGGCCCCCGTGTCCGAACGCCACACCGTCGCCCGCACAAAAAGCTGGACGGAAACACAATCTGGACGTCTATTTAAATCAGACAGCGGGAAGATGGCTGCTCTCTTCTTCCTTCCTCGTTGGCCCCCCAGGCGCTGAGCGCACATATGTCAGATGCTCCATGCTGAAGTTCAAAATCCTCCCACTCACCTAATCACCGCTCGGCACGCCGCATTAATACACGCTACCGCTGCACACGATTAGCATTTTCTGGCCTTGAAGAGAGCATTTAATCTGTTCTTTAATTGCGGACACGTTGTTTTTCCATCCGCGTTGTGATATCCGAAGCAGTAATCAAGCTGAGCGTTGCCCCCCCCCCCCCGGTGTAAGACGGCGTTCGGGGGATCATGGTGATTTATCAGAGGAAGCAAACGGAATCGCGGAACCTCCCGGTGAAATATTTAGCGAGGAAAGAGGGGGAGCGAATGTATCAATGGGCCTCGAGGGGGGCGGGGGGGAGACAAAATGTGTCTTCGAAGCAGTGGGCCTCCTTTGAGCTTCCCAGACCAGGGACTCCGGGGGCCCCCGGGACTCTTCAACAAATAGTTTAGCGCGGCTCTTTTCATCCCCGAAACTTCAATCGGTCCCGCGCACATCGCTTCTCGTTTTCTCCCTCTCGTATCCGTTAAACGTGGTGATGAATATCAGCGAATGCACTGCAATGTGCTACCGCGGTTCAACTCGCTCGATGGGGCGTCTTCGTCTTGCTGCTGGGCTTTTAAATCGGCGTCGTAACAACTCGTGCATAAAGTGTTGATCTGAACACTAATGTCATCAAAGCGCAGCGTCGTGAGTCCGCGGGACATCCCGACGCTGCGCTTTGATTTCATCATCAAGCTGCACGTGAAACCAGCGTGGAATCCTTAATAATAGATGCCCCCGTAGCTCACACAGTCACACAATTGGTCGTACTGGCTCGGCGCCGCGCTGGTTGAACGGCGCGGGCCGGAGAGTCCCGCCGCATGCGCCGTTTGCCCGAGCGCCGTCTTAATCCATCAAACGCTGCCTCGGCCCGTCACGCCTCAACAGCAATTCCTCAATCTCGCTCGCTGTGGATACATCACGCCACCGGCTCGTACATCACGCCACCGGCTCGTACATCTTCCCCCCCCGGCTGTCCTCGCAGCACAGGTTTTTTTTTTTTTTTTTTTTCAGTCCCGCGCTCGCTGTCCGACCACGCGGCGAGACGTCGGGGAGGTCGGCGCTTAATACAGCTTCTCTCCGGAGATTAACGTCTCCTCGTGGTTGTAGCTCATTAGTGGGGTTTTTTTTACTGATCAATCATGGCGGAGCCGCGGTGGGTCATTAGGAACACCAAACCTTGGATGTTGCCCCCGGGGGGGAAACCAATCGGCGCGGCGGGAGGCTAAAGCACGTTGAGTTGCATCCAGTCTATGTGAGTTTTGAATGGCTTTGGTTTTCAATTAAAATAGTAATTTGTGATTTTTTTTCCGTTTTGTCGTCATCTTTTTGACTGTCACCGTTTTGCTCTTTGGAGCTAAGTGCAACCAAACCCTTAATAAGACATCCCCCACATCATGGTCCATTTGACTCTCAAGAGAACATCATTTACTAAGTGAACATTATGCTGTGTCTGCTGAGTCACGTGGACGACATAAACAACCAGGTTCAAAGTAATATTACTATTAACAGCGATGCAACATGAGTTACGCTCATCGTCGGCGGTTACTTAAAGGATCCGTGTTTCTCACGGCTGGACGATAGATCGCTAATTAAATGTTGCCGCTGCAAGGAATCGACTCCTTTCATGGTTCCTCTGCTAAAGGAACTAGGAAGGGAAGCATTGATACTCCTTTCCTCAGCATTCAGAGAACTCCAACTCTTATCACGCCGGCCACTTACACTACGTCAAGTCATTTAGCATATTTGATTCCAGCCATAGACTTCTACTAGTCAGACTTCTACTAGTCAGACTTCTACTAGTCAGACTTCTACTAGTCAGACTTCTACTAGTCAGACTTCTTTCGCCCCGTCAGCCAGAAGGCACCTCGGTACTCACACGTCTGCATTAAGCGAGCCGCCCTTGAGCTGCTGGCAGATTTGCAGACCACAGATGGACCACACAATGTTTAAAAACCATCACGCCTTTATTTCCGGCTCGACTGGCTCACTGACTTTAGAATTATTCCATTTACAAAAGGCTCTGTTTTCGATCGCGGGAGCAACCACGAGGCCTCGTAAAGGAGCATCTCAGAAGATCATACTCGTCAGATTAAATGGTGCGGTTTTAATCGCCAGGCTGCTAAAAGGACAACAATCGGAACAATGACGCCGCAGCGCTTTTATAAACAGGAGCCACAGGACCCTGGCTGCGTCTCCCAGGGTCCTCCAGCTCCACATGTTGACGGGGAATCCTGCATCAGGACAGCTGTGACCACCGCGCCGCATGTAATGCATTCTCATTCCGTACTCCGTATCCCGATGGCGTCGAGGAGAGGACCCGTCTAGGCGTTGTGGTCCTATTTGATGCGAGTATTTTCTTCGCTGGTGTAATCGTTATCAAGTCAAGTAAAAATGAAATTTGTCAGAAAGTGACTTTCTTTCTTTTTGAGTTGAAAGAAACAAGCAAGTCACCAGCGGCCAATTTGTCCGCCGTTCTCCGCTTCCTGCTCCCGCTGGTCATTTTCCCCTCTTTCCTTTTGTCAAAAACATCGTCGATCCAAAGAAAACCCCAGAGCCGCCTCACGCTCACTCTGAGCAGGTGGAACCAATCACAGACTGATTGCAGGGACTCGACCCGCAGCCCGGCTCTTACTTCGGGGGGGTTTTGTCAGGCGGCGGCGGCGGCCCTCCAGCCGAGCCGAGCGCTCCGCCGGCCGGAGCTTCTCTTGACAAATGAACGTTTCATTTAAAGCGAAGGTCGCCGAGCCTCTTTTGTTTTGAAATCGCTGAGGTGAATCCCCCCCCCCACCTCTCCCCCCCCACCACCCACCCGTGTCTTCTGCAGCTATATTTCACTCTGCCGCTAAATAAAGTTCTGGGGCTGACGCGTCCTTGGGCGCCGCCCAGAAGCAGTCAGTCAGCGGCGCGAGTCGCAGAGGTGCTTGAAAGCCCGTTTAGCAGACCCCCAGAACAAGCAGAGTCAAGGTTGGGTTTCTCCCTCCGGCCGGTCTGTGCGTCTTCAAACGGTTGACCCAGCTTGTGAAACGGTGAAGTTATAGGTTATATATGTAGAATGACTTTTATATATTCTTCATATGCTCCGAAGATATAGAACCATTTGGGTTGATGCCGTTGGTGATAAATTGTTGGGTAGCAAACTGGCCCCCCGCTTGTGAAACGGTGAAGTTACTCGTTTCAACATTCAGTGTTTTTTTTAGAAATGGTATCAGAGGCAGTTTGGATCATCTGTAAACACATTGTCCTTCTGACACGTCGTGTAAAGTACCTAATCTACCCAGCGACATCGCTCCAATGACCCCAGAGAGTCCATTTAAATTGGGTATCAAGTGGTTTCCTCCACGCCGTTACGTTTGCTCCTCCCGCCACTGTCGGGCCGAACGTTCCTCACAACATCCCCCGCTTTGGTCCCGCTCATGCCCCCGGGGGGGGTGAACCCCGGTGTAAATGAAGGTGCCCCCCGGGCCGCTGAGGTGAACGCAGTCCCAGAGAGAGACACTGCTGAGCTCACCTTCAGTAAACAGCTTCTCCCCTCACCCACTTCTCTGACCTCCCTTTTCTCCCTCGGCTCCTCACACACTCTCCACTTCCCACGGGTGCTTTCCCACACACGGCACACGGCACACGGGCGTTTCTTTGAACAGCGGGCGTTTGATGTTCCAAACCAACCGCGGCGCGTAGCACCGCGAGGCCTTTTCTGCTTTCCCCCAATCTTTCAGTCTTTTGTGTACTCGACGAGCAATTGCACCGTGCACGACTTTGATAAAGCTGAACGCAGTAGGTGAATAGACCCTAACCCACCGCGCGGCGACAGCGCGCTTCACAAGGGGGGGGGGGGGCTTTTATTCACAGCCATGAAGTCGCTGAGCTGGGGGGGCTTTAAACGTTGACGCAGTGGCGTTCTCGAGGTGCATAAAATTAAAGCCGCCGCCTCGTGAAAGCACATTTTTCCAAGACTATTAAACATTGCCGCCTTTGTCGCTGCTTGTCGCTGCTTCAAGAAGACGACCTCAGCTTTACCGAGTCGTAGCCCCCCGAGAGTGTTTTTCCTCTGGATTTGAAGCACTTGCATGCCACACATGCTCGCTCCCCACCGCGGTGCGTGGGAGCCTTCTCCGGTGGCTCCATGTGGGCTGCAGAGCATACCAAGTACTCTGTGTCGGTGTGATGTTATGTAAAAGTCATTGCAGGGCTAATTTTACTTCGGGGGGGGTTAACGCAGTGTACAGCTTTGGGCTGC